TCAGAAGATACCATCGCGTTGCGCAAGAGTTTCCGCCGTTTCCCGCGATTGTATTATAAAAGTGCATGTCCCGGCGAGCAGAATTAGCGAGCGTGCCCGTTTGTGGGTCAAGCCGGCGCGGAGCGTCGAGCGTTCTCCAGGTAGCCCCGGCGCAGAAACAAAGAAACGACGAGAGAAACACGAAAACCGAGGGCGTACGGTCTTCTCCGGCAAACGATTACCATTAATTTCTATAATCTCGCATCGTTGCCGACGTCCTCGATCAAGATTATCCGTCGCGGCGGAATGAGAGTTCCCAGTCATCCATGCGTGCCCTATCCGCGCCGCTGAAACGCTCGCTCGCTCGGTGTCCCGTATCCCGCCGCGATATATCAGCGAGAAGCCGGGGGAGGCCCCCGCCGGCTGTCTAGTGTTTCTTCTCACGCGGCGCGCGGGCGAAAAAACGCAAAAATCCGCGCCGTTTCGACGCCCGACCTCACTACCGCGATCGTTTTGCAGTCTGTTCCTTTTTTTCAAGCGTACTCTAACCCGTCGTGGACGAACGTCGACGTTTCGGGGAGATCGGACTATCACGTTTCGAATTCTAAGAGGAAATCAATGATTTAACCCTTTGCGGACGAACATCGGCATTTCAACCAGTTAACTGTGAAATTTAGATGGAAGAACCTCTCGTTCTCGCAATAAAATCGAAAAATGCAGCGTGTACTCGTCAAAGGACGAATGCACGTAGAGTATATTTTAATGAAAGATCAAAGCGAAACAAAGAAGAATTACATGTTCATGTGAAAAAATGAAGAATTCATCGCTGAAAGAATTAGTATCGTGTCAAGCTACGATGACGTGTATACTCGTCAAACACAGTTAACTGGTTAAGATGGAATGCTCAGATTTGGAAGGCTGAGTCGTGGATGAAGGATCTAATTAGTTGGATAGCAAGAGATCGGTAGGTAGTTTTATTTTTTTTCTAGCAATTAAGCAGTTCATATATATTTAGTTTCATATGTTGAAGGTTTCGTATGTTTAGCAATCTTCCGCAGAGGGTTAATTAGGGTAGTTTCCATTTCTTCTACTGTTTAACCAACTGATACATAATTTAGCTTCTGCTGAAGGTTTTGCATATTTCATCCATAGGAAAAGGTACTGATTTTCTAATAACGTTGGTGATCAACGAAGTGTTTCCAATTCCAGTCGAAAACAAGATAACGTTTGCTCGTCACTGCTCTACCCTATCATTTGTCAACAAGATAACTAGATAATCGATCAATATCATAAGCAAAGCACGCAACGAAACTCTACTTTTATTCTTTTCCCAACATTTCGGCAACGCACGGTGCGTATAACGAGAAATCACGTTTCGTGACGGAGGCCGGCAACGAAAATGAGGCTAGTTACGCGATGCGATCAGGATTCTCGCGGCCCCACGCGTATATTGCCTTATCGGTGGCCCAATCATACCTCGCGGACCCTTGCATATACAAAGTAACCCACCCGCCCGGATAATTATCGCACGAGAAACCGCGCATCCATTTTGCACGGGCCTCGAACGCACCGATTGCTTTTTCCGTTTTCGCGTGTGAACGCTGCGATCAATTAGCCGCTCGTCCTTTTGCCTCGTCTCGCAGTCGTGGTCACTAGAATCGCTTCAACCTTCGCGATATCAACTTTCCTCGTTCCTTTTACTAATTAAATATTGTGATATATTAACTATGGGCCGAATTTTTGTTCATGATTGTAACAAAATCTATGCAGTACAAAATTATATATTTCGTAACTTTCAACTTACAATGACATTAAACTTTCACGCCTGAAATTGCAATAAAATGGAACGTCGAGTCTGACTCGACATAGGACAGCTAAGGGCTAAGCTTCTCATAATGTACCAACATGTACACCAAATAGAATATTCTATGCACGTTGATTTACATATAATTCCTCTGGAACCTGGTTAAAAAAGGTCGTCCGAATCTCATTACGTAATTTCATTAATAGTAAATTTCTGGCGAAGAAATCAGTTCTAAAATTCATTCTACCAAATCAATCTTACTCAGCTGAATCGACTTCGAAACTCAACATCGAACAACTAAAGAAACGATTACAAATGAAAAAGACGACGAACAAAGAGCACTGCAATCCACGTCGTCGTTACCGCATTGTTCGACGGAAAAACGCGGAAACGAGGCCGTTCGCAGAAACGCGTCGGATTCCAGGAAACGGATACTTTTACGCAACCGGTGAGCATTCCACCGTAGTGGATCTCCATTTTGTTATCACTGGGGCAACATAGCTCAGCTTTATCTCTTTTTCACGCCGAGGACTAGAGCCTCTACCAGTCCTCGTACACGATTCTCATTTCCGAGGTTTATCTGAAAGATTGAACAACCCGCAGGATGAAACTGTCGCGCGGCGGATTCCCGAGTCACGGTCCTCTCTCTCGGTTTCCTAGGTCAGGGTAGAATTTTCGGGCGGGCCCGACGATTACGAGGCATTCCGTAGCCGGGGAATGACTCCAGATTCTTTTCAACCGCCACCAATCACCGTGGCCGACGTCACCGGTGTTCCAGGCGAGTCTCATCGGTCGACAAAAGAATCCTCCGTTCGAAAGATCCGGCGGGATTCTTGGATTGCGGCGGGCCGAGAGCCCGGAGCGAGCGTAAAAGCGGGAGGGAACGTGACGGGGAACGCGAGGCTGCAATTTTAATCGTCCGCCGTATCTCTCCGGGTCAGGAATGCGACGCGGAGGAGTATTTTCTAAGCAATCGCCGCGCCGGGGCGAAAGGTGGGCAGGCGCCTCGGTGATAACGCCGCGTAAAAATGGCTGTCGCCGGGTACGATCGATCGACGGTGTTATCAGTTACGTCCGGGGGGCAGCATTGTTTCGCCCCGGGGAGAAATGGAAAAGGGCGGAATCGTTCCCACAATCGTTTCGTTCGTCTCCTAACGGGCCATCTCGCGCCCGGCGACCGCTAGTTCACCGAACTGGAGTCGAACGCCGCGGCGAACCGTGCGAACCGTTTCCGCGATTCCCTTAAGGGGTCTTGCTACTACGAGTGCTTCGAAAAATCGGGGAGTTCTTCGATCGGTTTCACCCTTTGATGAGGATTCTTTGAAATGTAGAGGTAGAGATATATGAAGCTGAATTGTATATCGATTGCTGAATTAATAGAAATTGCTAAAACAGAAATCAATTGCTTAAACAGTAGAAGAAATGGAAACTACCCTAATTAACCCTTCGCGGAAGATTACGAAACATACGAAACCTTCAACGTATGAAGCTAAATATATATCAATTTCTTAAACATCTAACCTTTCTCTACAGAAACTCCAAGAGTATCTATTGAGACTTCAATCGATTCATAATTCAGCTTGCATATCGCCAACTCAATTTCTTTAACTCCGACAAAAGCATCTACCATTTTCAATAATCGCGGAAAGGTCTCGATTTATTCATTCAATGTCGAACGATCTTCAACTATTAAGTAGTAACTATTAAAAAGGAACAGATGCAGTCACCTTCAAATGGCACAATTGCGATACTACAAATAAACACAGACATAGGACTGCTAAGGGTGAACAAGTGAGACCCGCAGCCGAAAGAACGCTTTCGTTTCCACAAGGTGCATGCCCGAACGAGGCTCTGCCCGAGGAAAAGAAACGTCCCGGTGCGGCCGACCCGTGGAATCCGTGGAACACACACGGGTCGTCTCCCTTTTCGAGTGGAGACCTCGCTTAACTGCGACCGCGGGGACCGGCGCGACCGCATCCACCTGGGAGTCGCGCGAGCGCGCATCCCGGTAAAGTTGCTTCGATAAAAAAGTTAACGGGCCCCGTTAAAGGATTTTGTAACGACGACTCGCCGGGCCGAGAGGTCGCGGCCGGCATTATCGGGGATACGGCAGCCTTTCTTATTGCGTTAATTAATTACGGATCTTAGTTGCCGGCGGTCCCATTACAACTGAAAAATAATTGAACTGGATTCCAGCGTGTCAATGTCGCGTTTTTCTCGACGGGACTGGCCCCGGCCCAAGGCCCCCCCCTCCTCCCGCCGTTCGCCGTGCCGCGATTATACCCGTCCCGATGCGTCGCTCTTTTTGGACAGGCAACAAGGTTGTCCCCGATGAGACACGACGCACGGCGAATACCGATATGACATAATCAATAAGGCGCTCGTTAACGGGCACCCGGCCAGGATATAATTCTCGGCCCTGCGAATCCGCCGCGGGATTCTATCCGACTGGTTCTCTTAATTACCACGATTTCAGGGGATACTGTTCGAGGTCGTACCATGGAGATCATTGGTGTCGCGTGACGAAATTGTCGAGTCACCATTCTCTATTAACCCCTTGGCCTATGATTTCTTTCTTGACTCTGATACGGCTACTTCGTCGTTAATAATTTATTAGAAAAAGAGAAAAATTCTAAGCATGTTATGTCTATATTTCCTTTTAAGTATAATACTTGATTACAGAGGAATAATGTTTACTTTGAACTCGAATGAACTGAGTAATATATATTTTATTGAATCATATTGGAAATCACCACGAGTCTCACTCGTTGTAGGACAAGGGGTTAAGGACAATTGTTCGCAGATATTCAACCGATAGGAGGTTGCGTTACCTAAGTAGCTAACAATTGTCCTCAATGCTCCTCGGTTAGCTCTGAAACAATGGTTCTCAGCTTTCTCGTGTCGCTACTTGATTCTTATTAATTAGAGCCGGCTGTAATTAATAGTGCAAAGGGTTAAGACCTTGTCATCTTTCTGAACGACGCGCCACTGTAGTGGCTCCGTCGTTACCATACATCATAGATCATACCCAATTGTATTACTAACTATCAAAGTAAACTGTTAAAGTGAAATTCTGTATCATATCTTTCACAAAACAGTGGAGAACAGCATCGTCCGTGCAGAACTCTGGCGTACAGAGAAACAGGCCCGCGTAGAATTCAGCCGTGCCTAAGAGGTTAAAACACAGTATTCGATCCGGCAATTATCGGGGACTCACCAGTGTCCCTGGTACGAGGTCTTGACGAGCTTCACGGTGAAGAGGAACTGTATGGCGCACACGAGCAGGCAGCACAGGTTCAGGGACAACGCCAGGGCGCACAGCGCCAGAGTGACCTCGTACACGATCGTGTACTCCTCGGGGCTGATCAGGCTGCTCGGGGTCACGGTTAACGGGGAGATCTTCAGCAGGAAGATCAGCGAGAGCAACGCGAGCAGCAGCGACACCAGGCACAACAGCCCGAGACTGGTCAGTGTCTCTTTGGCGCCGGCCTCCTGATCCTTGTGGTTCCTCGACAATGAAGACGACCAAGAGGCGTTCAAGGGGAACGCGGTGGATCCGCCGCCGCCGCCGCCGGTCAACGGTCCGCCGGCAGCTGCCGGCTGTAGGACAGGTGCCGGTGACGGAGTCGCCTGGCTGGGCAACCTGGACAGCCTGGAAATGTCGAAGCCGCCGTTCACCTTCGGCCTGTTGTCCTGGTGCAACGGTACCTGGCTGACCACCGTGTGCCCCAACGTGTTCGACACGTTGTTATTATTGGTGTTGTTGTTATTATTGTTGTTCCCGCCGGCGACAGGGCTGACGCTGTTCACCGAGTGCTTCGACGTGGAGAGGGTGGACAGGTTCAACGCGTGGCTGTGGTTCAGCCGTTGGGAGAGGTTGTTGACGCTCAGCTGGGAATGGTTCAGCGGGTGCCGGTGCGTGGAGGACGGCGTGGTGGCCGGCTGGTGATGGTTGCCGGTCCTCTGCTGGGACGCGTGGACCACCACCGAGTCGTACACGTCGACGCCACCGCCGCCCCCGCTGCCGTTCCGGCCGGCGCTGTTGCCCCCGCGAACGTTCCCGGTCTGATTGTAGTGGTGATCCTGATGATGGCCGGAATGATGGTGATGATGGTGGCCGCCGTGCAACGAGCCCGAGCCCGACTGATAGTCATTCTGGTGATGCCTGGAGCCCGCTGACGACGGTTGCCCCGTCAGGATGTGCTTCAGCATTACTCGACGCCGCTGGGTCCCGCCGCGGGAGGAAGAAGCGTCTTCTTCTCCTTCCCCCCGGTGCCGCTACATCGCGCGACCCTCCCTTCACGCGTGGCCACCTCTTCCCGCCGACCGGACTGCGCGCGACCGCGAGCCTTCTCCAAGCTGGGAACTCAGGGGACAAAGGGGAACAGTCTCTCTCGAAGCTGGGACTCCCGAAGAGGATCCGCGCGATGGGTCTCGCCCGCGGGGAGAATTAGGTACCAGGGCTCAAGGAGTTGCTGCACACCAGCTCGACCATGGCGACCGGCGCACTCCCGGGCAGCCGCGGCGCCTACATAGGTCCTCCTCCGGCGATCAGGCTTCGCTGGGACTGTTCCTGCCCGGTTCTGCGAAGCGAGACGCGGGAATCGGTAGCCACGTTGCGCCCCTGATCATGATTAGATCCTCGGCCGCGGTCTGATCGGCCTCCTTCCGCGATGCCGCCGCTCGCTCGCTCGCTCACTCCTTCCTGCTCGATCACGGATGATGGGAACGGGACCGTCTGCAACGAGCCGTGCCACCGCCGGATATATATCATCGGTCGATCGAGACGCGATCGGTCGTTCACTGTTCCCCGGCGATGCCCGCGCTAGGAACGAGCATTCCACCGGTCTTATTAACGCCGTTTAAACGTCGACGCCGATCACCGAGGTCCCTCTCTTCCGTCAGAGAAACATGGGAAACGACGGACGGAACGCGCGGCCGACGATCGCATCGGTCCCCAGCCGAGGTGCGACGCGCGAAGAACCGTTTCCAGCGGGTAGTTGACGAACGGAACTGCTAACTATCGGTTCATTCCCTCGCACGCGGCCGATACCGTGGCAACCACGATCGAATCCAGTTTTCCCTCGGCGTTTCCGGTGTACGCTCTCGGAGTCCTCTTCGTCTTCGTCTTCTTCTTCTTCTTCTTCTTTCGCCCGCTGCTGCTCGAGGCGGCTCGAACGCCGCAGGTGTTTCCAACCGCTGCCCTCTTCTTGTCGGCGAGGAGTTGTCGCGCGGAACGATCACGACGGATCGCGGCAGCGTAATGGCGGGGCAAGCGTGGCCCGGGTGAGCATGATTAGATCCGTCGCGGACGACCTTGTCAATGAGAATGGCGGCTCGTTAAGGCGGCTGCTGCCTCGGTCTGCCTCTGTGTCGGGATCCGGCGGGCTGCTCGTCAGCCGGCATGGCTTCCGAGATGGTCCCTCTGGAACAGGTACGAGGATATAATTAATGGACCGTTCGGCTGTTGCGCGGCCCGTGCGAATCGACCGCCACCGTGAAAATGAACGACAGCCGGCCGCGACCGGCTGTAATTCGATTTGACTCGACTTATTTTCTGCGCGGGAAACGCCGCGTTAAGCTGCGGATACGCTGTGCATCGCACTTCCGACGATGTCTCGCGACGACGTTGATGCGCGCGAACGCGTCGGAGATTAGTTCAATTCGATCGCGTTAGCGCCGACAGCGTCTCGTTTGCTTCTGAATGTTTAACCCTTTGAACTCTAGGCTTCAATATTGTACCAGTTGTAATATTAACCCTTTGCACTCGAAAGCTTTTCACTTGAAATATTCAATAGTTTGCGATTAGATGTAGCGAAGATTCTTTAAAATGAATTTATCAAGAAAACACATATGAATTAGGGAACAAGGACATTTTCTTTGAATATTTCACGTATTGCTGCTGTGTACAATGGTTAATGGTAAATACCAAGGCTTATAATTTCGCTGCATTAAATCATTTGGCGACTGGAGTCGCCTCTCGAGTGCAAAGGGTTAATATTTACTTATTGCTGGTAAAAAGCTCGAAAACCATTCTTAGAAATTGCAGTGAATTGGGTCTATATTTAGGTCAGATATTTAGATTTTCAATTGTTTTTAACAGTATGCTGAATCATACGGAAGAACTATTCTTTCTATATACAAAATTAGGTTTATAAATATATTCTTTTTGCATCAATATCTGATGTAATAATTCTTTTGAAAAAAAGTAGGCTATCTTCTCGATATACCCTAAGTTTGCGCGCTTCTGCGACTCGCTGTTCCAAAATAACGTCACCAGGTTGCTCGCCGGCGCGTCCGCCGTCTTAAGGGCACGTTTACAGCGGCAGAAGCTGAGCGCCGATCAGGGGAACGATGAAATTCCTTTGTTTGGCGTGTTCGTAACGGAGCCGCATTTACGTTTACGGCGTACTTTTTCGTGATATACCACTCCGCGGAGGCCGGAGATAACGATAATTCTTCTTTAGCTCTCGGTAGCTCCACTATAAAACGCACCGGAGAAAGATATTTTATCGTCGCCCCGTTCGGCACATTAGCCCGACATCTTAGCTCCCATCGCAGCCCCGCTGTAAACGTACCCTAACGCGGATAATAATGCGGGATGCGGATTCGATGGAGGATACACGCTGCAACGGCGGAGCACCTGATTATCTCCTCGGGTTTTAACGACGTGCGAGTGGAACGAGGATGTTCACACGATTTTCATGCGAGGAACGGGCTTCTGTTGTCGGATGTCGGATGGAAACTCGTTGTTTAGCGCGGTAAGCTTCGAAAAAAAACAGACGACTCGGAGGGAATGTTCCTGTGATTAATTTTACTTTGTCGCGTTTGCGGGGGGAAAAATGCAGAACTGCTTCTCCGCGCCTCGGTGTTAACAGGAGCACTACGCGCCAGACGAAATGACTGGTTTTGGTTTCCTCGATTTGCTGTTATTGATATTTTGAAAGCGTTAAAGGTTCGACGTGATTTTGAAAATAGTTTCACTCGAATACTATGATGAACGTCGGAAGAAACCGAAAATATTACGATTTTTAATTCGGCGAATTCTGGAAAGCATTTGAAATTACAAAAATTTGGAAATACGGGGATTCTAATGTATCGATATCTCGTCCCTTTGTCCTTCATAGTTTTAATAATTTTATTGAAACAAATATATTTTGTAACTCTGAAGTTACAATGACGTTGAACGTAAACGTCTGTGCGTACAAAAGTTTAAGTTCATTAATCATTTAATGTCGTTCGTCATTTTGCAATAAAAAATTGAATAAATCAATTTAACCCAGTACACTGATGCGTGACTTCAAAGTCACTCGAGCCTACAGAGGGTTAATTAACCAAATACAATTAATCCTCCAACTCTCCCCCTTTCCAACATCTTTCGATTTCGTTTACTGCCCATTGTGTCAGCGTTTCATTGCCTTCTTACTGTAAAGAGAATGCCAAAGCAACAATGATTTTGTTCCTCTCGTAGCCGGGTCATTCCAGGGAACACTGTGACGCATGGGAATGCGAGTGCACTCGTATCTGCGGGAACCATTCGATCTGAATTGTAACCGGCGCCTTTTATAGTGTACTTATCCGCGTGAGCGACGTCCGCGCTATGAATTTGTAATGAATTACGGTACCGGGGAATCCTGCAGTCCCTCTTCTGTGTACAGAGTAACTCGTTTTAATGTTTCCCCGCGCGATCACTGTCGAGATACGAGCGAACTGGCGCGTGCACCACACGCTCTCGTCCGCCACTAATTTCCTATCCAAACAACGCTGACCTCTTCACCGGGTCCGCGTATTCTTTCAGCCGCGCGTTACGCGTTGGATTATCTGTCGGTGCAGCTTTATTAGACGATAAAGCTGTCATACGAGTAACGCGGGGGACAGTCTAACGGCCACCAACGCCGCGACTCCGTTTGCTCCGTGGATTACAGTTGTTTCGTTATCGGTAACTCGGAGAGAAGGGAAATCTATGCGCTTCGTGAATCTGTATTTCGAAGAGCGAATATTAGAATCAGTGTTTCGTTTTAACTTCGAATTAACGATACCGAATAATAATATTAACCCTTTGAACTCTGTAGGCTCCAGTATTGCACCAGTTGTAATATCGAATATTTTAATGAATCAAAGAAACTACCCTGAAATTATTAGATTTTCCACATATCCAAATTTTCTACTGAGAAGGAAAATAAAAGATCGAAGAAATGTTGCATTTACCGATACGCAAACTGAACTTGAAATCAATTCAAGTATAACAGACGCACTTGGAATTTCTATAGAATCTCAAAGAGCTTAACTGCTCGGCAGTTCCAGCGTTGGACTAGATTCACTAGAAAATTCAAATCAATTCAACTCTTAATAGACGCACTCTCGGAATTTCTATAGAATCTCAGAGTTCAACTGCTCGGCGTTGAACTAGATTCAGTGGAAAATTCAAAAGACTGCGCTATCGTACGAGCCCGAACCGTTTCATTCAGACCTACATCGAATTCTCGTTACGGAGTTAATAGTACTATCTATAACCGCCGATGCACGAGGAACCGAGTCGATAAAGAACCAGGAAATCACAGTGGATACCCGGTAGCGCAGCCGACTACGGTAACGCGACCGAATTACCGTGTCGTAAGAATACGCCGGGGAGAACACGGTGGCAGCGGGTCACTTCCTCCCCCGGTGTATTTTCCGGTCGTTAACTTCGCCATAATGGGATATTAAAGAGCCGGGACATTTAGATCTGCCGCGGGGACTACCGATCTCTCCTCAACCTGTTCATTATCGAATTACCGCGCGCGTATCATTTCCACGAACGAAACGCGACGATCCTCCCGCTATCGCGCCGCAGACGCCGCCGCCGCCGACGCCGCCGCTCCCATTGCATTGTCGCGTAACGGTTTCACTGCCACCGTGCTTTCGACCTCTCTTTCATAACTTTCTACTTCCTTTCGATAAATTATCCTCGAGGTTACCCGCGCGTATGGTCAACGGAATCGCACGGTACCGCACGTTTCCGCGATTCATCGTTGCATATTTCAGCTACGCTTTCTCCTCTGCTACCTTTGCCTGTGCTGTTCGTAGCTATTTCTCTATGTTATTCGAGAAATTATTTTCTTCTAGGGAAACGGAAATTATCTTTAATACTGAAACTACCAGCTTGATGTATTTTCGCAATTATTAGAAGGGTAACGAATGTTTCTCTGAGAAATTATTAAAGACGTTATTAAAGAAATTACAAAAAATTATTAAAGAAGTTCATTTAGGACTGCGCTAATTGAATTGTAAATCGATTGAAGTCTGAACAGATGAACTCTTGGACTTTCTATAGAAATTTTAAAAACTCAATTGAAGTGTTCGGTGGTTTTCGTGTTAGAATAATAGTTACTTTCCTTATTCAGAGCTACCAGAGATTTTTCTTAGGTTTCAGCGTTAGGCTTAATTTATTAAGACGAGTAAGAACTTTATGTATAGAATTTTTAATGGAATTTATTGAGTCACTATATAGATCAAGTTTGTATTGGAATCGATTTAGTATTGCTTATGGTTTGTAGTTTCCTAGCTGTGCACTAACGTTTGATTTCATAGTTTGTATTAGAAGAAAAATTAATAGAGATCTTTCAAATATTTTTTGTACACTTCCCAGTCGCAATTCCGAGCTCCGATCCATCAAATCGCTCGACGGATAGTTTCCTGTATCCCTCGGCGAGCGAGACTCGCGCGCGCCTCGCGCCGAAAAAATGGCGGTCGTCGCACGCGTAACGAAACCGTCGAGACGCGCCGTCTCCATCGTCTGTTCCGTTATTACGTGCCGTAGCCGCGGGCGAATAGTCATTACGGATCGACGAACCCGATTGTAACGCGTCGCGGCGTCGGATCGAGCGGAAAACGCTTCTGTTGTGCGCCCCATTCCGCAATGGTCCTTCGAGCGTGACGACGACGATCGTGAAGGATCCGCGGAGGACGCGGCGATCCGACGATTTCGTCGAAAAAACGATCGACTGAAACGCGGATCGCGGAAATCGTCGAGACACTCGCGACCGTTCGCCTCGCTTTTCTCGCCGTTCTCGCGATATGGGTCAGCGGCTAGTATCGATCGAACGATAAGCGACCGTTCTCTGGTCAGTAATGTTACCCGATCAATATTTCCCGGCCCTTTCCTTTTTTTCTCTAAATCCCGAGCTACCTGCCATTGAAACCGGGAAACTACTTTTTTCGTTGCTTTACACTTTATCGTTTATAGCAGGTTGCGAAGTTCGTGCCGATCTTTTTGCTGAAGTTTCAATAGTTCGAACATTTGCATGGAATTGCAGGAGTTATTGGGAATTCAATTATTTTTGTCGAATATTTAGTTAGCAAGTCAAGAATGTTACTGTCTGGTAGAAATTTGGGGGAGTTAACTGAGTTGAAGAAAGAATGGATCGTAGATAATTCAGTAACATG